TTAAAGCTAATTGTTCTTTGTTTTGTGTATTTTGTATGTAGATATATGTTGCAACTTCTGGTTGCATAAGTTTAGTCTTTGTTTGTTATGATTAGTTAAGACTAAGCGCTAGCTTAGTGCTACTTTTTGTTGTGCCGAGCTTTCTAAAATAGTTATTGAAACAAGTGTTTACTTATGTAGGTAAACGCAGATATTTAACAACCCGTTAAAATACACCAGAATACAGGAAATGGCATCTACTTTATTCAAAATTTTCTGGGGGATGACCCCCAGACCCCTCACCAGTGTGTCCTCACCACATTTTGAATGCTTCTGACACAAATGGCCACCACATTGTTCAAGCCAAGAGCCATTGTCAGCACTGAGGGCTAAGCGCCCCCAAAGGTCAGATTCAAGAATCGCCCCTGGTTTAGACTAAATGTATTTTAAAGAACTGGAAGTAGGCATGAACATATATAAACCAGAATGCAATAGCAAAATACTGGCTTTGAGCATGTGCATTAGCATCTGTACAAAGGTCGGTCAGATAATGACGGAGAACTTCACTGTTCTGAACGTTTTATTAAAAGTCCTTCAGTGAGCATGTTGCTGTGTTAAGGTTGAACTCTGAAGTCAATATCTCTGAGGTTCGAGATGGAAAAATGAACCGAATGACAGCTGAAGTTCAAATTCTGACTTGAACAATCAGAACTTACGCTGATGTCAAAATCTAACATGGCTGCTTAAAAATTGATGCTAGTTGCAGTTTTAAATGATTTATTGGTACTTTAGTCAATTTATATCACATAAAATCAATCTCACACACATAACATTGTGAATCTCTATTAATGAAAATGCTGCTATAGTATTTGATGACATGAAATTCAGATAAAATGTTGTAATTGGCTAACAGCTAATCTAATCACAGAGCACAACAACTTGTAAATCCCAATGTTTTTTTTTTTTTGTCTAAGGTGTCATGAAACAGATTCTTTTCTACCGTCTGGATTGTTAGCCATTGTAGCATTGCGCTGTTTACATGCAGGCCTTTGACATCACATCCTGTGCACATGCAGATATCTCAACAACTTTTCATCTCAGCAGTGCAAGTTTTTTTTCAATGTATTGTTAAAGTTACGTTTCCAAAAATGCATTCCGATTTATTATAAACAGTTGGTGTCCGTGGCACTTTAAGCTTCAAAGAGCTTCTTTAAATAGTCAGAAAATCTAGTTTCACACGAGATTAAAATACTTTTCTTGAGCAATTTCACAGCTGAATTTGTACAAAAGATTATGATATTTATGTGTCGAAACGTGGGAAACTGACACGCACATTTTTATGCAAGTAAACCCACATGGCATTGGGACGACATGTCAGCACAATCTATTTATGTCCAATCCTCAGAAGACGTCCAGTGACAGGAGATAATCAGTAAGTCTGCATTATGACTGAGCAGAGGCTTTAAATTTTTAATTACAAGATGCAGCATCAGTCGTATTCAAAGTGTTTTGTCCCACTGGAAACTCTTCGTTACCAGACAAGATCATGTGTCAGTCAAAGCCGGTATCAAAATCAGAATCAGCTTTATTGTCATTGCACAGAAGAACAACAAAATTATATTTCAGTACAGCCCATCCCAAGAAACACAAACAAACAAACAGACAGGGTAGACGGGTGTCTGAGGCTGCAGCCTCACTGAGAGGCGCTTCCTTTTTTTGTTAGATTAGAAAAAGGTGAACATGAGAGAAGAGGGGGTAAAAAAAATTTTTTTTTAAATCACATGGACACAGCGTGAGGCTGCAAAAAACCCCAGCACAAAAAAAGCAACATACAGACATAAAGACATGCATGTGGAGTGGGTGAGGGTGGGGGTAACAGCACAGGCCGCCCAAGTGAGCGACGCAACCACTGGCGCTTTCGCATCTACCTAGGTTGCTGCACTGGGGGGCAAATGAGAGAGGCCAGCGAATGTGGTGAATTTGAGGGGAATCATGAGGTCATTTCCTGTTGTTAAATGATTCTTTGTGAGCAGCAAAAAAAAAATCAAGTCTGACATTTCATCAGGCTTAAGATTCAGAGTGTGTTCTGTCCAACAAGCTTTTTATTACTCCAGAGACTGTGACAGGTCAAAGCAGGAAGAGCACGTGTGTAAATAACAACATGGCTGAATCTCATTTGGATGTCCCAGTTTCAGGGACACGGTTCAGAAACCTGAGTCAGCGTCAGTCTTTACTGAGACGCTAATCCTGCACAGCCTCTGCCAACGTTATTAGTGCCACTGGTGCTTCTCCTACAATGACTAGCAAATAAAACGTTGTTTGAAGACATCGTTGTACCATATGAGGAAAGTAGAGAAGTGGAGGACAAAAGGAAACAATCTGCAGAGCTGAGGAGGAACTGAAAGTCAAGTCTTGAAGAAATATGATAATGAAAAGACAGCAAAGCTCTGAGAGATGTATCATGCTTCAGCTTATCTTCTGTATGTCAAGTTTTCAGCTATTTGCTCGTTAGGAATCATCCTGTCGGTACTAAAATCTATTTTGTGAGTCAAACTGATGATTTTGGTATTTTTTATACATGTTTTTATACATAACTAAATAAACAGGGCTAAAATGTTTCTTTGAGAGAGGCGGCTCATAATAAATAGTCTTTCAAGTACACAAGTTTCTTCTTATAATACTTTACTTTATTAGTTTCACATATAATGATATTTTTGTCATTTTTCATCACTTATTTTGAACTGTTCTGTACTTTTTGTTTCTTTGTGATGTGTAGTGATAACACCAGCACGTTCCTTTGGGATGTTTGTTTTGCATAGACACACCACTGGTCCATCCCTTAAATTCAGGAGCCTTGAATTATTTCTAGGTCAGAATTAAATCATTTATTAGGCAAAGAGAAAAAACAATCCTGTGAAATTGGGCAGATATTGTAAAATGGATAAAATTTGATTTTCAGGAAATCTGGAGAATTTACTGTAAGATCAAAATAAAGGATCCTTGGAAGCAAAATGTATGTTTGACACACGACTTTTTTTTTTTACAGCAGACAAATCTTATATAAATCTTTACATAAATATATGAAGAATGTACAAAATTAAATTTAACACCAAAGCATACAATTATGGAGCTACACTGTAGTTGTAATTTAAACAAATTACAACTTGAGAGCTGAGGTGAAGTCATAAATTATTGTTTTTCTGGGTAATAACTTGTTTTTTGTTTGATTTCTGTAAAGATTGGAAAAAAAACATAACTTTCTCTCTGTAACGGCCTGTCCTTTCACACTGATCTGCTCCAAGGCACAAAGGGATCACCCACTGAGGACATGCGTGTGTGTGTGTGCACAGGGACACACCAGTGTTTGTGTGTGTGTCCACAGAACAATGAAACCCAACACATCCAAATAATGCCGGGAAAGCCCTCTGACAAAGCTCGCACATCCAGCCAATTACTTCCATACAGAAGTGTGTGTAATCCAGCTGATGACACGTGGTGACACTAACAATAAGCAGAATGATATGCATGCTTAAAACAATCTTTAAAACATGAGCAGCTCTCTCAGCATCTGCAGAAGCTGCAGAATCATATTCCACAACTAAATAATCTGATTATATAGAAAATAAAACCACTTTAGTGCCTCGGTATTAACAGTTTTGTCTATTTGAATGATGAGAAAAGTGGTTTCATCTGTATTTTTGATTTTTCAGGGAAAAGTTCTGATCAAACCTAGAGAACAATGACAAACATTCCCTGAAACCAAGGCAGCTCTCCAGCGTAATTTTATTCCAGTGAGCTCTGAGCACATTTGTCCACTCCAACACCGCTCCAAGAAGAGTGATACCATCAAAACCACCATGAGAACTGGATAAACTTATCTGCTATTTTCTAAAAAAAAATAAAAAAAATAAAAAAAATAAAAATTTAAAAATACCGTATTTTTCGCCGTATAAGTTGTACTTTTAGGCATAAATTTGCAAGTCCTGTGACTTATACACCGAAGCGACTAATAAACGTTTTTTCCCCTATATTTATAAACCGATGTTTGGCTGAGATCTGACAATTTCATTCATTCTGACATGAAAAATATTAAACACTACCATTTGCAGCCGCTAGAGGGCCCTTGAGCCTTAAGGCAAGCCAAGTGTCTCTTTATTATTAGGTAAAAGTGGCTATTAATGAGACACTTGGCTTGTCAAAGAGACCAGCATTATCTCGCTCCAGGACTCCAGGCGCAAACGCCAAATCATCTGCATTTCGCCACGCCGCCCAGGCAAAATGCAGATGATTTGACCATTAAAATGCATTTATTAAGGAAAAGTTCAACGGAGATACTCCTTTGCTGTAATTTTGAGCAAACAAATAATTGTTTTTAAGTGTTAATCTTGTTAAATTCTTGTTAAAGTCCTCCCGTGCGTGCTCCCGCAGACACCATTTTGGCAGCCAATTGATTTTTGGCACAACACCGACCCACGTTTCTGGGTTGTCAGCGGTGACGCATAATAGATGCAACTTACACGGCAAAGCAAATTATTTATGTGGCTTTTTCCACTTTATAAGACTTTTTTTGGACTGATACGACTTATACAACGGAAAATGCGGTATTTGAAACATGTGTAACCAATATTTTGTTGTGTTTAAACCAGACCCTCTTTGTTATAGAACAAATTCTGGCAGGTGATAAAGCAGAAATCTGTGCAACAATACATCAGCTTCTAACATTCTGACTGCAGAAAGCAAATGTTCATTGCGTTCCTGATTATATACATCCTTTAACTCTAAACACACAAAGCACCACACATGGGTGCTATAAAGCCATACACAAACAAACATGGTGGTAACTAATTGTCTGCACCAGTATCACAAAAGAACCCCATGTTAAGGAAAGATTTCCATGCAAATCCTTGCAAATCATACAAGATGCTCATTAGCTCACATATATTGTTGCAGTGCGGATCTGTTGCCCACAGATATGTGTGTGCTTTAGCAGAGCGATCAGTTACATGTGCATCACTACTCACCAGTTCTTGGTTGGTAGAGTTGGAGTCGTCTCCAGGAAAGGGGATGTAGATGGCTAAGGCCACACAGTTGGCAAAAATAGACAGCAGTATAAAGATATCAAATGGTCTGAGAAGTGATGGTTAAGGAAGACAAGAACCTTGAAGAGTAACACAATGCACAATGTGTGGAGAAGTGGATTAACTTCTAAATTAATAAAGAGACTAAAGAGACCAGTTTTAGCAAATGGGGCATTCAGACTGTCCTACAAATCTGTCTCCACCTTCTGTTTACATGCATTTTCCAATCCAACAACGAGCTGGTTCTTTAACACATTCTGTTTCTCGTCTTAAAGATACTTCCACTCCACCAGGCTGATGCAGGCCCTGCGGATTGGGTTGTTGAGGGTGAGGCAGAACAGAGCTCTGGGTGGCCGGCTGCTGGTTGATCCTCCTTGCTTTTTGCTTTTAGCATACTGCTGCCTCTTCCTCTGTGCCAAAGAGCCAACAGGAGCCGCTCCAGTGTTGCTGAGAGAGGGCTGTGAACTCATGTCGGGCATCTCAGCATCGTCCTGTGCTCGTCGAGCCGCGGTAATGGCGGCATGCCAAGCGAGGACCGGGCTGACACTGGAACCAGTGCCACCCTGGCCTTGAGTAGCACTGTTGTCCCCAAGGAGCCCATGAGAGGAGCCGACGGGCTTTCCGGTGCTGGCTGGAGCCTGAACAGGCTCTGATGGAGGGAGCTGGAGCAGACTGGTGTGGCTCTCTGACCAGAGCGCCGGGGTGTCAGTGGAGGGAGTGGTCCTTCTGTTGCTGGCATACTTTGCCCCTGGAGAGACAGAAACCAAAATACTGTAAGACTAAAAGTATAAAATATGTCAGTGAATATACTGGAATGATATGGTACTCCTGGGGCCACGTGTATGAAAAAGTGTGCAGCTTCCTGAAAGTTGGCATAGAGACAAAATGAGAAAAGTACATATGGATCAAATGTCCCAAGCATGAAAAAATAAACAAATGTAGCAATAAGTTCACAAATAAATGCACTGAACTATAATCCAAGCTTGAAAAAAAACTCAGTATTAAGGACAAATGTGTCAACATTGATAGATAAAATAAGTTTTGAGATGATTGTGAGTCTATGATGACAAAGGAGTCATATCTGTAAACATAAAGTCTGATCACTTGAATCGAATACATGAACCTCACTCTGTGTCATCGTCTTGTACAAGCAGATACTTCTGTAAAGACTTAAAGTTCTCCTGGAACAGAATAAAATCAATGTGTAAATATTAAATTATGCACATGCAGCCTGAGAAATATTCTCTTCATCTTCTTCTACTGCTCATCCCTAGTCAGGTAACAGAGGCAACTGGTCCATGAGAGAAACCCAGATATTCCTCTCCCCAGTGACACTTTCTAGCTCGTCCTGGGGGACCCTAAGAAGTTCCTGTCCCAGAGAAGATATACAATCCATCCAGCAGTTTCTGGGTCTTCCCCGGGGCCTCCTACCAGTGGGATGTGCCCAGAAAACCTCTAAAGGGAGGCGTCCAGGAGGCATCCTGCTCAAATGCCTGAACAACCTCAACTGACTCTTTTCGATGTGGAGGAGCAGCGGCTCTACTCCGAGCTCCACCCAGATGATGGCGCTCTTAACCTTATCACTAAGACTGAGGAAGCTCATCTTGGCCGCTTTTCTCACCGGCTTCGGATGTTATTAGCCCATTAAAGGATCGTTATTAGTTGCTTGCTATCATAGGTAGTATTCAGACTTTCCCTTCTACCTCCTAGTAGGTTAAAAGGTACATTCTTATCGCTGATAACATGCAGCGTCGCCCACATCAAAAACAGAAAGCTTTCTTTGTGAGCTTTATTTAACCCTTTTCCTAAACCTAATCTTACAGCTGACCCAGAGCACAGACCCTAAACTTAACCCCCTTACCCTTGACTGTTAACCTAACCCACTGACCGTATTATCAGCGATAAGAATGTACCTTTAAGCCTACTAGTAGGTACAGGAGAGGCAATCTATGGAGATGATAACAACTAATAACGGCTATTTAATGGCTAATAACATTAAAAGCGGCTGCTTTAATCCGGGATCTCATTCTTTCGGTCCTGATACAAACCTCATGACCACAGGTGAGGGTTGAAACATAGACAAACCAGTAAATCGAGAGCTTTGCCTTTCAACTTAGCTCTTTCTTCACCACAACAGACTAAAGCAACACCCTCATTACTGAGGACGAGGCCCCAATTTCCAACTCCACCCTACCATCACTCGTGAACAAGACACTCGGACACTTGAACTCCTCCACCTGAGAAAAAGACACCCCCCAGACCCGGCTTGAAAAAGAACCTCTTAATAACCCACAAGCACCACATTTTTAGAACAAAAATGAAGCAATACAAATATTGGCGGCTCAAACGTTCTGGATTCAAAAAGCTCACTTTGTGCAGCTTAAAGGATTATCTGTATTTCAGTTCCTGTGTGTGGAGAAGTGCCAGAATTTCACATTTAGGCTAACACAAAAAACAATAAAATAAAAGGAAAGGAAGGTTTTA